AGTAAGGGGGCGGTTACACCCCTTAATTCCCTATAAATATGGGTAAACTCAACTGAGTTAAGGCTGGCACTTTGGGATCGGAGAATTGGCAGTTCGGTTGGATTTTCTTGGCTTGGATCGACCACTGGAGACAGGCTTTTGGAGGAGATCGGCATCATCTCCCAACGAAGATCATCTTCAGCAACAGGGAGCCTCTGTCCTTGGCTTATAACCGATCTTCGGTTCAAATTAACTCTTTTTCAAGAGTTCAAACTCGATCAGAGTTATCAACTCATCAAGAGTTTTAAACTTGCCACGCAAGTTCTCCACAACGTCAAATCGTGAGGAGAAGACATCGTTCCAGTGAATCAAGACGTGCGGATCGTCAACGGAGAGCAAATCGCCACCGTGAAGAACCCAGTTTTAAACAAAGAGGAAGAACCAATTTCGTTCTCCTCTCTTTTGTAATCAAGTTGTAATCGGAATTAAAGAAATACAAGTCAATTTTCCTTTATTCTCTTCTTTGCAATTTTCCCTGCATACAATGCTTGGAAGAAGTATGCCAAATGGGCATTAGACATCAACTTATGTGAAAAGAAGCTAAGGATATATCAGCTCATCTCTTTCAGTAATCATGAATTTAAAAGGCAACAAGATGCCTCACGATGACCCCCTCATTATATCGGCCGAGATCAATAGCTCTACTTGTGACTTTTAGTATTCTCTTCCACATCTATATAATGTAATTCATAGAAGACAAAATGTAATTGATGGAGAAATGAGGATGAATAAAATGAGATGATCACTTTTTCCCTATCTCTTCTCTTGTCTATTTATTTACTCTTACATTTCATGTTTGATTCTTACTTTTGATATGTGATGTATGTAGATACAACAACGAGATTACAACACTAACAATGTTATTTATGATATTAAGTTTTTCTAAACCTTTGAATACCACTAGATGGAGAAATTTTTGACCTAAGATCTAGTCGGGATAGTCAGGAGTAACCAACAAGAGGCTAGATCCTGCTATCTATTCTCGATGAAAGGAAAAGGGCTATTGGAGACTATGCCAATTGAGAAGAGGCACCTTTAGATGGAGAAAGTGCTAGAACAAGAGAGGATGACTCCCATAGAAGATCTCCAAGAAGTATTGATCGGTCTAAATGGATCTAGGAAGGTCAAGACTAGGTCGAGCCTCGTTGAGCCTCAATGAGGAATTATGATCGCGTTCCAGCATGAGAATGCAGATGTGTCTGCATAGGAACCCGAGGACATGCTGGGAGCCCCCCTCCCCCTCCCCCGAAGTAGCAAGCTATGAGCTCTCGGTCGGTCTAAATGGATCTAGGAAGGTCAAGACTAGGTCGAGCCTCGTTGAGCCTCAATGAGGAATTATGATCGCGTTCCAGCATGAGAATGCAGATGTGTCTGCATAGGAACCCGAGGACATGCTGGGAGCCCCCCTCCCCCTCCCCCGAAGTAGCAAGCTATGAGCTCTCGGGTCCCTTGGCAAATGGAGGATGTGTGTAGACTTCACAGACGTGAACAAAGCTTGCACAAATGATAGCAACCCCATCCTAAGAATCGACCAATTGGTAGACGAGAGCGTAGGCCATGAACTACTCAGTTTCATGGATGCTTTTCCTGGATACAACTAGATCCACATGGTGGAGCATGACCAAGAGAAGACCTCATTCATCACAGACTAAGGAACCTACTATTACAATATGATACCC